GTCCCTTCCAACCCCTAACATTCTGTGTAATGCAGTCTACTTTACTTCTGGTCTAAAACCCAAATGACTGTATCCAATATACTTCGGTAGCCACATTGGCAAAACTCAAGTTATACTGAAATGAATATTGAAACGCCAAATATTCCACTTTATATGCCTCCAATCTTTGGTAAACTGACCCCTTTAGACACTACATGAACTCTTTATGTACCACACTTTTGAATAATCAGTGAATAATTTCAGCAGAGTCTGATGCAAGTCCTTTGTACTACATTGATTTTTTTCGTACTCTAATTTACTTCAAAGGGTCTCATACCTACTGTATTTACTTTCCCCTTCATTTCCTAAACAAGAAGCCCTCTCAAGAAACTAGCCAGGGTCAACACTTTTTCTCCTTCAGACTGAAGAAAACATGTTCCTTAAAATCTAACAAATCAGTACAAGCTGGCACATAACACTAAGTATTTTTCGACAAGTTGATAAAGTTTATCAAAATTAAGTTCAACTTTCACTCTAAACATTCAAGAGAAACAACTAAGTGTTTATCCTAAAACAGAGCATGATTAGGCACAGGAATCAGGAACTAAAGTGGAATCAAAACTAAGAGAACAATGTGTAGACAGAAAAAAACTGATATGAGCAGAAGACATAAAACGTCAATTATTCAGTGCACATTTAGCAGTGGTCCATCTCCAGGAGGTATTCCAGTCGGCTTTCACTGTTACAGCTTACACTGATCAGTCACAGAGTGCTTCTTTCAAAAGAGCAGCATTATACATTTTAAAATTACACAGGGGCAACCAAAAAGCATGGAACAATGAGAATCTTGCCATTTCAAAATTTTATCTTCCTTATCTTTATTCATTTTCATTTTTAACTAGTAGGAATTTAAAACACAATATGCAACAATAGCTATATCTGGCTGTTTCCTTTGATAACATCTATACTTTTTTTCCAGGTTTGATACCATTCTTGTTCTCCACGAAGAAGCTCCTGTAATTTAAGACTTCTGACATCCCTGGATTCAGCTCTAAATGCCTTCCACAAGCTCAATGCACTAAGGTGCACCTTAAAGACACAAAATCAGCCTCTTTTTCCCTGGCAATCCTTTCCTCTCCCCTACACAAGGCAAAACCTTGTAAAAGTCCAATCTTTTTTCATATCTGTTTTGTGATAAGGTAGAAAAAAGTGAAACGTATTCCAAAACTGATATAAAGTAAAACATGTCATAGTATTAATCCTTCCTAGTAAAAATTATGTTTGCCTATCAACAACTTTTATGCAGCAAATTTTCTAACATTCAAATTTAAGAAGTAGCATTATATAAAGCAAACTACACAAGTATTAAACTAAAGCAGTCTTACTTGAAGCTAACTCACACAGGAAAGAAATAATACAGAAGTCCTTACTCAAAGTATTAACTAAAAACTAACAACTCACAATTCAGCAAGTGTTCAGTATCAATTCATCCAGTGGAAGAAATTAAAGAAAAATAAACAACCAAGCCACATCTTTGCCAGCATAGACTTAGTTTCTACATGCTAGACCTCTTCTAGTCAGGTCCCTGAACTGGCCAAAGTCTGTTCTCCAGAGTCTGGGGTTGTGATTTTATTTGCCCTCTGTTCTCTCCTCTTAGGATTCTGAACTTTCAAACTTTCATCATCTCATACTCATCACAGCTAAGACTGCCCTTGATCACTTCTTCCATTTTTTCAGTATCAGGTCCAAGACAGCACAGCTCTATTTCAGCTCCTCAACTGCCTGTGCCAAGAAATGAACATCAGTTCATTCCAAAAGTCTCCTGGATATCTTGTGCTCAACTGTGTTGCTTTTCCATCAGATACCTGAATAGCTCAAGCTTCCTGAGCACCACAGCAACTGAAAACATGACTTACAGGTGTCTTAAGGGATCATCTGCTACTTCCCCCTGATCAGCAGCCTGTAGCAGACAATGTCACCCAGGCTAATCTGCCCTCTAATCCTAACCCATGAGCACTTAGCTGGCCTCTCTATCCCAAGGCAAAACTCCACGCATTCCCACCGCCCTCTTACACAAAAGCCAGCTCTCCCTGTTGGCCATCCCAACCTGTCACTCCTAGATCCCATGGCCAGTCATGGCAGCACTCCAGCTGTGTGAGCTATTTCACCACATCTCTGATCCCAGTGAGACCACAGACCTGCACCTGGCATGCAAATTTGGAACTCCTCCTTTGTTTCCCTTGCATTAGCATTCAGGCACATTAGAGGCACCCAAGTTGTCTGGGAAATCAACACAAGGTATGAAGACTTTGCACTTAACACTGTCATCTTCGCACTTTATTTGCATGTATACATACACTTTAGGAAAATCTCTTTTGGCCAACAGGGCACAGAGAAAACAACTGGACATGGAAAAGGTGCGTGACAGCAGAGACGCATCTACAGAATAATTCCTCAAAATACTTTACTTCGCATCATGCAGTACAGCATTTGAGTCTCAGACATTTTCAGTATGAGTACTGTCAGAGTAAAACTCCAGTGTTGCAGTTTTATTAGAACCAGTCTAGAGCTGAAAGCAGGATGTCTCAAAGACAAGGAGACAAAACCAAGTACAATAGCTCAGTGTGTGTGCTTTAAGAACTGACACATTCCACACACTTAAGAAAATAGCAAGCTGTTATATAAAGGGTTAGGCTGCAGCCTACTTACATTCAGGATCAAAAAGTTAAAAAGATCTGTTTTCATACTTGGCCATCGAAGGGATACTTATGGATTTCCTCTGACCACAGTGGAGACACTCACATGTCCTGCAGCTTAGCACCATTGCTTCAGATTAACTATGTGAAGGCTGTAGGGGGCCGGTTAGCTCAGTCAGTTGAGCGTAGCGCTAACAACGCTAAGGTCGCGGGTTTGATTCCCATTCGGTTCCCATGTGTTGCCTGATCTAGTCGACAGGTGGCGTCCCTGGCGGCAGGGAGGCTGGATTAAAATGATCTCTAAGGTCCCTTCCAGCTTAGGCCATTCTATGATTCTATGATGAAGCAAAGTGACTGCTGCTGCTCCAGTCAGCCCTCCACTGGGGAAAAGTATCAGTGTCACCTATAGCTGGCCTTTTAATTCCTGTCTGGAACTGTCAAGTCTTACAGGTCTACTAGGTAGAAACATCAGCAAACAGTGGTCTTTCAGACAAATGGAATAAAAACGTGGCCTTGCTGAACAGAAACAGCAATTACACGTCACATATAGGCAAAGTTACATTTGTGTTACAAAGCTGAGAAGGCAGTCTAGATGTGGACAGATCTCTTTATCTTTGTGAAAAGCTATAAGGAGACTCATGGTTGTTTAGCAGATGTATATAGGTTGTCTTAATGAAACCAAGCACTCCTCAGCATTCGGAGAGCTATGCAAGTTGACCGAAGCCCTACACAGAGCCTCAGCTGGTAAGGGTACCGCATCCAAAAGAAGCATTCAGAAGTTCCCTAGAGACATGGTCACTTTTGATTAATTGGGGATACATGCATTGAACACCCCCATGATCAAAGAGTTAAATAAAGCAAGTAGAGTCCTGGTCTAGCTAATGCCAATTGTCTCTCAAGAGCTACATTTTTCTACACATATTCAATTACCCAGAAAAGTCAACAGCACTTCAAAGTTAAAAGGTCTTGTCAAGAGCAACAGTCTATAAAAGAAACAGTTCAAGAATAAAAAAGGATTCTAACATGTCTAATGCATCACTATAGATTTAAGTTACAAATTAGTTTGACAGTTTACTAGATTGGGAATCACTGAAGAGAAAAAAAAAAAAAAGGGGAAAGTGCTCCTTTTACACACTGTCTTTCAGTGAGCCACCAGATTCTGAAATACGCCAGCCCATTCATTCACCAAGCCGGCTTGGAATATTCTCTGTTTATTGCTTGGTTCTATACACTGTTGGTTACCAGCGACACTACTTTAAACTATGAAATTCACTGTGGCACATGTGTGTGAGCAATGAAAATCTAGACTGCCCAAGTAAAGTGGTGTGTTCAGCTTCCATCATCAGAAACCTTGTCATATGCATAAAATATATTTCACTTGCTCAGTTCCTGTGTTAAGTTCCTGGCCACTCCTCAGTCCCATAATAATCAACTTATAACTTTTAAGAACCTCTTCATTGCTAACATCCACAGAGAAATCTGTCAATCCATTCCCAGCCATCATCTCCCATTTCAAAACACAAAAATTTAACATCCAGTTATCAGGGTAGTCAGACACAGAAAATGACCAACATCTCATCACCAGACACAATTTAGGCTTAAAGACAGCAGAAAAGCAGCATTTCTTGAATATTTCACTGTCTTCAGTGACAATTCTACAACTTTCACTCAACACATTTAAGTTGATCAGTTTCCTCTTCTCTAATATGCTTAACACTACCTCAATTTCTCCTTGTAATCCTTTTGCTCAAAGTATTTTGCATTTAACTGAGGCAACTGACAGTGACACGTTATACATTTTACTAAATATTGGTGGGTGATTGTTTCTTTTAAAGCAGTGTGTTCTCCTGCCAGATGCAGAGTCTTCTGGAACATTAAGAGAAGTACTCCAAATGCTCACAGCAGCACTCCATTACTTCAGTCTCATTTAAATCCATTTTCCCAACTGCTCCAGCTCAATTGTTTCATCTGTCTGAAACTTGTACTTAAACCCCAAAGAGCACACCAAGAAGTATGGACTTTATTGTGCCTGAATATGAGCAACCAGTTTGTAACACAATTGTCTGCATTTGCAAGATCAGATCTAACAATGCCTACCTCTGTAGGATAAGAGATCTTGGTGGACAGCTGTCAATAAAACCTCTCAAGATTATGATGTCTAGCTTCGCATTTCTCCAGAAATACGGAAGACTCCACTCAAACTAAGATTAACTACAATAAATAAAGTCTTTGGACATCATAAAGACAAAAAACTGCCAAAACCTTGAAGTACACAGAAGTGCCAAAATACAAGCAGAGACTAACATTACTTAAATCTGTAGACCATTTTATAAAACAAGAACTGCAATGACTTTTGTGAAGACAGACAGTCCAAGTGTCTAAAATGTAATTAATCAGCATGTACTCAGCTTCATTCTGATTATCCTCCACCATACCAAGTTATCTATGTACATAAAAGCTATCAACCTTAGAATGACATTGATTTCAGCCTACAGACAGCCCTGTACACTAAAACTAACCCACACTGCAGTCACTCAGCAATCTAAGCATACATGCATAAAACTTAGTGGAAGCTAGCAGATGTCTTATCAAAAGAAGAAAAGTAATACTCAAATTCTACACTGTCAAAAGATGATCTAGGAATTAAGTTCTGTTATATATGATACATTATATAGAGTACAAACAGTTTCTAGTTTGTGTATTGGAGAGACCTACTAGTTAGTTAAAAAGTTACTAGAAAAGAATCTTAAAAATTGAGAATCAGCTTAGCTTTAAAAGTCAATTTAAACAGTGTATTTTTGATACTGAAGGCAAGATCTTTTTAAAAAAAAAACAATTAATTACATCTTACCTGTACTAGGTATTTCTGGCTTCCATACATTACATACTGAGGGGCAAGACTGTAGATCATGTAACTTGTATGAAGAACTATCAACAGAAGTATCATGCAGAGAAACAAGAGTGCTTGAGGTCGAGTTTTTCCTCGTCTGATTTTATAAAGCTAGAACCAGAAAACAAAAACTTTTTATTTTTTCCTGGAGAGATTTAAAACCCTCTTTAACTCAAGTAACAGCTTTAATTCTACTGACATAAGTGGGAGTCTTCTAAAATTATCTGGCTACTTAACTCCAATGAGTCAAAGGAGGTTTTCAGGTGTATTTATCTGAATTTAACAGAGCTATTTAACCAAATTAATTGTTGTTTGCATCAATGACTAAGAACATTTGTAAGTCCACAGTTAGCAGCAAGATTAAAATGGTAGTGTCTATCACCAACAAACTGCCTTGGTCAAAGAATATTGTGACCTTCTGTCAAGGCAAGATGTCACCTATCACTATACCTCTAATCAGATCTAGAAACAAAGGGAGTATTCGCAGCTCTTATTAAGCTGGATAAACCTGCTTGCCACCTAAAAAGCAAGTCAAGCACTACTGACCACATGCATAGTTCAGATTTCAATCATAAAATTCACTAACACTTCCAGTATACCAAAAATCACACAGCTTTAACTTGAAGTCAGAAGCCAAAGTGTCACTGATCAAGCACCTGCCAGAGTCAGCTGACTGTACTGCTTATCAAACTAATCCATCAAGCCAGAACACCTTTCAGCGGCAGAGAAAACTGTAGAGCAGGCTTCTAACACTCATTAGACATACAATGGTATTTACAACATCCAGTATAGATGAAGCATTCCATAAGTAGTGACTATTTGACTATTTATTAAATATATTCAATATCACATTTGCTAAACATCTATTATAAACTAAACTCAGAAATCATATTTACCCTTGTCCAGAAGAACCATATACCCATATTTCGAATCCCTGCCATTGAAGTGAAGATGAAGTACATGACAATAGTTGTTATGAGAATATAATCAAGTGGAAAAACCTAAAACAAGAAAACAAGCAGTTAAAAAGACATAAAAAACCCATTCAAACTAGAAAACAAGTTTTTCCATCACTTGAAGCTAAATAAGTAGTTTCTACTTATAGCACCTGAGGTAGTAAGAGTCCTATTTAAAAGTTTTACATAGGTAGCTCCAAATACAGGTAATACAGCTTGCTGCTCAAGTTTATACAATTAGTTTGGTAAAGTAAAGTATTTCTCTGAATTTAAAACTTCCCTTAATTTTGAAGTGTTATACATTTTTAGGCCAAGAAATGCTTAATTCTGTTGTGAGAGCACATTTACAAGAAAGCCTGCAGTGGCAACAACTGTTGCAGTACTGTATAGGCCTTCTATTTCTGAACATTATTTCCACACAAAACTTCTTTATACTTATGTGAATAACAGCTTAAGATAATACTGCTGTGGTTTTCTCAGTAAACCACAAGCTTAGGTGTTCAATGGTTATAGAAAACATGGGGAAGCAACACATTGTGTCAACACATTGTACCAAGAAATGGAAAGAACTCAACTAGGGGAGAGGTAGAACACTAACCTACACTAAGGCTTTTCTTGGGGTTCCCATGACTGATTACCAAAAATTCATGTCATTTTGTTGCATTCCAATCCTACTGAAGTTAACAGATGTTTCTTGTTATGTAGGGTTTGTTTCAATGACTAACTGTGATTCTGTAAAGCATTACTACAGCATGCATACAATTATAGAATGGTTTGGGTTGGAAGGCATCTTACAGATGATGTCATTCCAACCGCATTGCATGGGCAGGGACACCTAGCACTAAAATAGGTTGCTCAAAGCCCCATCCAACCTGGCCTTGAGAGGGCAATATATCTTTCAGGGTGCAATAAACATCAAAAAGTGAAAAAAGTGCATTTACTCCACATAAGAGGGATAAGATATCAAGTATACAAACAACTAGGATGTAGGTAAGGCGTGGGAGAAAGTGGCTTTTATTCTGTGCATGATAACTAAGTGATGCCTTTCTTCATCGCCACTATGTTCTCATCAGAAGTTACTCTGAAGCACCACCCTCCTTCAGCAACTGGCTTCTATCCTACCAAAGTTTTCATATCAGTACCTAAAAACTAAGAGACTGTTAATAAGGACGTTGTCTTGCTTTTACAAAGCACACACGCAGACAGGTTTGTTTTAATGACTGACTTGGAGAAGCGTAGTTTGCCTTTTGCTAGCTCACCAGAAAAGAGAGGAGCACGCTTACCTACGTATATCACCAATTTCATACTTACTGTTTGAAGAATAGGCAACAACATATTCAATGGATTGGTCAGATTAGTTCCTAAAATTATAAATCCCGAGTCAAATCCAGCTGAATGCAGAGCCTTGTCCAAACTGCAGTAATAAAGAAAAAATGGATAAGTTCGACAGTTCTCCTAGAGCTTTGTCTTCAGTTTAAAAAAGGCATTTCAAAAAAACCCACTAAACTAAGCCAAGAGACTGACAGATTTTTCACTTATATAAAGATACACATTTTGTTTTACCACACTTACTGCACTTGTCCTATGAAAAGATATACTGATTTCTGCAACTGTTGTATTTTAGGTTTTCCCTAGTTTGGGTCATAGAGCATACTTGACTAGTCTCAAAAATTAAAAATTCGAGACCTCTTTTTAGTGTCAATCTTCTTCAAAATCTGTCAGATTTGCAGCTGGCTACAGCACTTTCAACACCATGAAACAATTACAACATAATGCACATCATAATGGATTATACATGTAATTTACTGCCAGAATTTAAGCACCTGTTACCCAGCCCAAAAGGTACCTACATGCACTAAGATTCATTCAAGCAATCAGAATACTTCTGCAGCCTGAATTTAACTTCCTTAACATATATGCTTAATTTCTCTGCTGAATCAGAACAGTTTTCAGTAGTATACAGTCAGTCAAGCTGAACCATGTTCTTTTTGAATCTGTTTTAGTAAATTTTGTTCAGTTTTAATATACACTATTATAATGAGAAATGTAGTCCTAGTTACAGATACATAGTATAGAAAAGTGTGCTGATCTCTGAAGTAAACCACCTCTGAATTTTAAACTACATAGTTTCTACTTTAACATTAAGTGGTTAAGATGATCACTGGAATGTACTTACTTTGACAAGAACAGAGACACAGTAAAGAGCAGTGCCACGATGATGAAGAATACTCCCCATACAATCTAGGAGTGAAGATTACAATTTAAAGTGCTTGCAGTCAAAACAAGTGAAGACTTCTCTAAGTCTCAGTAAAAGACTAACAAACATGGTCCACTTCAGAACTCAAACAGATGAGATTTTACATTTTATGAACACATTTAGCAGAATACATAACCTATATTATATGGGAAACCTTAACCATATACATGGAAGGTCGCGGGTTCGATTCCTGTTCGGTCCCCATGTGTTGCCTGATCTAGTCGAGAGGTGGCGTCCCTGGCGACAGGGAGGTTGGATTAAATGATCTCTAAGGTCCCTTCCAGCTTAGGCCATTCTATGATTCTATGATGATGATTTGAGCTTAAGGGAAATTAGAGTTGGTTTCCCTTGGCCACCAAGCCCTTCTGTAGCACTACTCAGAGACTCAATGACCAAATCACTTGGAGAGAGTGACGTAAAACTCAAGCAACTCAACTCAAATACCAGATCTACTTTTTTCTTGCTTCTGCCTGGAAGTCCTCACAGCTATTCATCAGTATTGAGTATTTCATAGCAATTTTGAAGGTTCAAGTTACAGAAATCATCACCTTCACAAAGTATTTTGACTCAAAAGTTAAAGTAACCTAGGAATTTAACTTTGAAGTAACATGAAGACTTAAGAACTGAGTAGAAAAAAAATAGCTTACAACTACTAAGTAGTAGGAAAAATACTTGAGTTTCAAGAAAACCTAGACAAGCACTACTTAAATGCTATTTTTCTAAAACATCATCTATCTACAAGTAATTAAAATAAGTTTACTACAACTACATCACAACTGCCATCACAATTACATCATAAAGGCCTCTTCTGGAGAAGGTTCTAGAAGAGCTTTCATACCCCTTTAGCTGCACTAGGTGAGTCATTTGCCCCACAATCCTCCTTTGGAGTGCAATACCCTATTCAAGAATTTGAAACCGAAAAAAAAGTGTAACAGCTGTGGTTATCTAGCCAGCAAGTCATAAGTACAGGTAAAAACTTAAGCACCACTACAGTTAAACTGGATATTGTTATTGTTTCTAAAAAGAGCAATAACAGCCTTTTTTGTAAGATTTTGCACACTAATACAGAACTGCCTGATAGATAAAAGAATGGAATGTCTTGGCTAAATCAAGGTAGCGTATAAAACACTAAACTAAGTCTACCAGGAGTAAATGAAGATTTTTGTAGACCAACCAGATCAGTAGTTAAACTGGGTTTCAGTTAAACTGTGCATTAACACTTCTCAAATATTAAGGGCTAAATTAAAGTAAGCAAACATCTTAGCAAACTAGATAATTTAGTCCCTGAATATAGCAAAAGTATTAAAAGTGTGAGTTTAAACAGGAAGAATTCAGACAACTTAGCAATAAGCTTAGAGAATTGAAAACAATATTCTGATACCTGTAAATGTTTTCCCTATTTCCTTCTCATCTTTATCTTTACAGGAAGAATCCACTTACTTTCAAAAGTGGCTTCATTTCTTTTGGTTCTTCTATGAATGGTCTGAATCAAGTAGATTCAGAGAAATAAAGATGTTCCTTAAGATCACAATTAAAACACAGGAAAGTGTTTTACACCTACCGAATACAGCACTTGAGCCAGGGACCTTGTTCTCCAAGCTGTTCTCAACAAGAACCCCTCCTATTGTTTTTCCTGGGCTACAAGCTAGTTCAGGAAATCATCCTCCACTTCTTAGGCAGAATTCCTCCCTCACAATCTTTTCTTTGAGGAGGTTAGCAAATGGTATACAAAAGTCCAGAGAGTGATCAGTTACAGCTCAAATAGGTTCACTATACTTTCCTAGGAACATCGGTCTCAGATTAGCATTCTGAACTTGTCAAAACAATAATGGTTTTGGATTGCTAGACCTGAGACTACCTAGACAAATTTATTTCCAAATTCTATATGCAGAAACACAATGCACGCTCTTTCACATGAATGAGTGAGTTTCATAGCTTAAGTTTTATTAACCTTAAAATTTGGCTCACAGCCATCTTGAAAAGGTGAAGAACTTTATTACAGCTGCTCATTAAAGATACTCAGAGTTACAATGCTATTATTATTCATTAAATTCTGAAAATAAGATTTCATCCGCAAAATCAAACACATTATTAGAACATTGCTTATAAACCAATTCAACTTATGCGGGCTTTATTAGATATAGATTTAGAGTCTAATATCAAGGTAAGTATTAGCCTGCACATCTCCATCTAAGTGTACCAAGATTTTACCTCTTCACAGCAAACTCCCACTAGGTACTAGCTGTACAGGAAACAGACGTTCAAAGCCAATTAAAACCAAGAGTCTGAAGCTTGCATTACTTCACATTCAGCCAGCAGACATGCATCCCTACCACCTATGGAACATATCTGTCTTCTAAAGTGATGCTTAACACACTTAGAAGTAGCTAAATGGTTGAGAAAAAAAAAAAATCTCCTTTTCCCATTTTAACCTCAGATCTAGTCCATTAAATAAGAGCTTGAAACACCTAATATTAAGACCTTCATTCTTAGCTCAATCTGTATTTCTATGGTGCTATCAAGACTACTGAAGCATAAAAGATTTACAACATCAACCTATGTTTACATAAATTCAGAGCACTAGTTGACTTAAGCTTGTCACAGAAGGGATCCTTGTGTTCTTACCTAGAGTCTCCTGGTACTTCAACTGATTGCAGACCAATTGACATCTCATTTCTAGTCTAGCACTTGGGCAAGACATAACATTCAGAGGAGTAGTTGAGCTTGCAACTTACATGGTCCAGCTGAGCCTCATCAACTTAACCTGACTTAAATTAAAAACACACCTCCCTTGGGTATATCATTTGCTGTTCAGGTAAGGGAAAGCATAAGTACTTCCTTTTCTATCCTCCTCACAAAGTCTAAGATAAGCTAGAAAAACATTACACACTCTTGCCTTTTACTTGACATCTACAGCATAGGACAAATGTGTCATCCACAATCTTATTAGGATACTACTGCAGTTCACTAGCTTTAAACCAAGCAGAGAATCTTCAAAGATTTAGATACACCTAGCCACAAAAGTTTACAAAGTAATGTTGCTTTGTGTCACAGCATAAACAAGAGGAATCCAAGCCCCTGAGAACAGAAGTACACGCTCAGCTACAGAGCAAATGTCAGAGCTTAATCATAAACTCTTGTTCTCAAAGTAGGATTATTTATCAACTGATGCTGAAAAGCTTTTAGTACTAGAACATGTGAATACAAAAAGCCCTGGGTTTCAGCCAGGAAACACACAGAGAAATTTAGTACAGTCTTACAAAAAAAAAAAAAGGCAAGTAAGCAACACTTTATCTATATTAGAAGACTAACTTTCCATGCAAGACAACTATTTCCTACTTGCTAAGTCCCTTTGAAAGCAGGGCCTCAATGCAATCACGCCTCAAGCTATGTGAACTCACCATAGTGGAGGAGCTAAAACCGCTCTGTTGCCAGGCCACGTCCTCATATTCCTCAGTTACAAAACACAGACACCGTACCCACCATACTCAGGCAGTTGCTACAAAATAGGTTTCAGAGCTGTTGCTCACACTCACACAATTTTGATGCCTCCAAGTGTCTGCTTTGGTCTTCTAATCTGCAATCTGTCATACAAGCTACTATGCATACAAGTAACTGCCAAAAACTAGTGAACTATTTTTATGCAAGTCTGCAGATACTACAAAAAGCACAAGTGGAAATCACATCTACTAATACAACTTACACTGCTGTCTGAAATGAGTTACTCCAGTATCTTAACGAAAAGCCTCTACACAAGCAAGCAGAACTCAGAAGACAGTAAGAATTGCCTTACTTCAAGCTTTGTTTTACATTTGAACACATGCAATTAAAAGACATAGCTAAGCAAAAACCAAGACAAAAAATGTCAATACTAGCATTTCTCATTAGTAAAAATTGAAGGATACTACTTCTGGGTCATAGTGCAAAACTGAATTGTATTTCTGTTTAAACAGTGAGGTCAAATAATTTAGAAATATTCAACTGTTTAGAAAATATTTTCCCTGCCATTGCACATAATCAATTCACAACCTGGTAAGTCTTTCCTAACATTCATGTTCTGCTGACATCGTTTTCCCCAATACCTCCCTTCAACCATAAGGAGAAGCAGTAGATTTGATATCTACAGCAAAGTTCACATATTATAGAAAGAAATTACACTACTTTGACATTCTTTGATAACCTCATGCTGATCATTAGTCACTTCCTTGGGATCTTCTGGATGTGTTGCTTTTGCCTAAATTGGAGAGTTAATTGCTTCACTTTTGAGTAAAACAACTTTCCAAAATTTACTTCATGTCAAAGATTACTCTTCAGAGAAAGTTTCAGCTTTGCTTAACAAATCACATACTAATATATGTTTAGCAATTACAAAATAACTAAAAAATATAGGAGAACACTATGCAAAGACAATAGGATTATAAAGTTCACACGACAGAAGACCTCAGTGCTATTCCTGAACATGTTATTCTCTTCTGTCGGACCCAGTCAGAGTCTGCAACTCTCACATACACGACCACTCCAAACACTAAGCAGAAATAGCATTCTCCGTATCTAGTACTTGCCTCTTAACAAAAAATTCTGTTGAAGCCTGAGAAATAGCCACATTCTTCAAAAATGATATACAAGTTGCACTAAAGATACAACTGTTGTAAAGCAATATGTAAAACTGCAAGGTGTTTTCTGCACTTCTACGTTGATCAGAACTGCTATACATGGAAATGAAAAGATTTCCTTCTTTTCATGAAAGTCACTAACGGAATGATTGATGAGTTTATATATATGCAAAGACAATTCAAATGCTATTAAAGTGAACAGTCCTGCAAGAGTTAAGATGTTAATTAAATGATGGACATTATCACCTTCACAGGACAGCTCAAGGAAAAGTTAAAGTAAACAAGTTTTGTAACATGCTTCATAGAACACCTCTATTCTAGAGAGGAAATCTGTCAGGAAAAATTATCTCCACCTGCAACTCCCCTTCAGTCTGCAATTTAAGTTAACAATTCACAGTGACTGCCACAGAGAATAAAAAAGCATTCAGACCACAAGAACAAAGCGACTCTGGAATATCATCCTGACCATAAGTAACTAAGGATATTATACACTATCCTACAAGAACACAAGAACTGTTAAAGTCCTACAGACAATAGGTATCACAGAATGGTAGGGGTTGAAAGATATCTCTGAAGATCATCTAGTCGAACCCCCAATGCAGTTCTCAAATTTAAGGTTAATGTGAAAAGTTAAGCTACACAAGATATTTTGAATCAAAGGAAGCAGCCAAACTATTAAAGTGAATAGTTAGGGATATTTGTCCTTTAAAGTAACGGGCTCAATCTAGATTTCTAATGTATCACAGAAAGATAACTCCACTAAGAATTTCACACTGGAAGCTTTTCTTCAACTGCAATTTCAGCTCATTTCCATGGGTACTCAGCATTAACAGTAACGGTGGTAGAGAAAATTGCTTATAGTCTTCCCTCAGCTTTTCAAGGTGCAGCCTACAGTTTAAGTAATGCTAAAACTAATTCCTACAACTAGCTGGCAAAAAATACTTAATACAGCAATGGTGTTTCATAAAAGTACTCATTTTTAAAACCAGTTATCTTCTAAAGTCAAAGTCCAAAGATCAAAAAGAGACCAAGATCAAAGCTTTGTCCCAGTAACAGTCTCCTTTGCACTGGTTAAGGATCAAGACATAAGTTCTTTGTAGCTAGCTTACTATTGATCAAGTAATTACTTGGCAAGATGCTCATTCTAAATGTATATATTCTCCAAGTATCTCTCACTTCTGCTGGCTACATGTAATCTAGATTAACTTAAGCTACCTGACAGCTATACAATTCTTCCTTCTCCCATTTTTCACATGCCTGAGAAAAGGTAAGATATTCGTATATTCTATGGCAGTGGTACTATAGATCATCAGCTAGGACTTGCTCCTCTTAAATCTTAATCGGATTTTAGGCAAAGTAAAAGGTTTTCCAAGAGTTCAAACAACTTGCTGTAGGGCTGTCATTCTGTAGTAAAACAGTAATTAAAAAAATAAAACAGTTGATATTCAGGATGGTTAACTGATAAACTTGACCTATGATGTATATGGGAAGAAAGCTGGAAGTTACTCCAATTAAAGTTCCAAAAATTTTTTTTAAAAAAAAGTTTTACCTTGAGAGGTCTGATGGCTTCACAGAACTTTGTCCACCAGCTTTTCTCAATAGATTCCAGATGTCTCTCTCTTCTTCGAAGTGTCCTTAGCCTCTCTTCTAGCTGTTGTACAGTCCGTCTATCCCTTGATGACAGAGGTCGACCATCTCTGCACTGGTTACCAG